CATCTCATTTAACATTTCCAGAATGGGAGGGATGGAGTCTGGTACACCGTGATCTGGCCAGTTGACATAGTGCAGCTGTTTCAAAGTTCGGCTACACTGGATAAATAAAAGCATAGTAGACAATTATAATGCAAGTCTCTTTCCAGAACACATTTAATAAGGTCATATATCAGATCAAGTCAAACATAATCATCTGGCTTTTTACTATGTCACTGTGATAGCTGAAGAGTTAAATAAATAAAATAATTTTAGTAGACGTTGTGTCTCAAAGATGTCAAATATGACCACATTAGTTTTGAGATTTCAACAACTGCTTCTAGTCTTTGTAGCAGCTAATAACATGCTATCTGATAATCTCTTGGTTGTCTCAGGAGAATTACCTCAACTGTTTTTCTCACAGTCAGAGTATAAACACTACTTACATTGCGATAAGTCACCCGCAATGTCCTTGTCAGATAATCTCCTTTAGCTTCCTCAGAATCCTGCAAAAAGAACCGCCAGCAGTGCATCTTTAAGCTGAGTACTTATTCGTGCTGTTTAAAAAAAGGTAAGTGTTGCATGACACAGGTGTCATGTGAAGATAGTGTGAAATTAAGTCAGCATATGTTATGGAACTGTTCTAGGAACCGGTCAAAGTAGGAAGTGTGACTTGTGAGAATAAAAGTACTCACACAGTAAACTGTAAAAGGCTCACAAACAAATGGCTGCTCCTGCTTCTGTGGCCAGTAGCGCTCACACTTTTTCTACAAAAAAAGCAAAGAAAGCGCAATTTCTTTCACATTTTACTTTTCACACAGTTCTAAACCATCTTACAAACTTTGATGAAATACAAACTATACATCTATATGTATGCAACACAGTTTGACTGTTGAGAAAAAAAAGTAGAATATGGAAATGCAAAAAAAAACAGTAGTTACCTTTCCCATTTCAAACTCCCGACAGGCCATCACTACGATCTAAGGCCAAACATAACAATACAAATTACAATGTACCAAAATATAACATGACCATATCTTTACATAGGGGTGGGGGAGTTCAAAAAGGCCAGTCTATGTAGCCAGTCATTTTTGATCACTAAAGCACATTAATAGTTTTTTAGAGAGCAACATTATGTCTTAAAACACCTTGTTGTGTCCAGGTCATACCTTGATGTCGTACTCCCAAAGCATCCTGAAGAAGTCCAGTACTGTGTGAGGCAGAGGACCCTGAGTAGCAATGTAGGCCCTGGAACCTGACACTCCCTGAAGATAAAACGTAGCTTATAGTCAGAGGATGTTGCACAAACCACATTAGTTACACAAATGGAAATATACTTCAGATGCAATTTATGTCAATAAAAAAAGATTCTCTTCACAAGGGCACTGTTAATTTACCTTGATGAAACTGGCGTTGATGTAGTCTGTGTCATTTTTAGCTGTGGTGAGAGTGAGCTTTACCCTGCTGTGGTCAACTGAAAGGAAAAATGTAATTATAAATTTTAATGTTGCACAACTCAGGGGTCTTCGACTATGCTGTACCTTTTCACACCCTAATGGCAAAAGATGCATTAGTATTTATTAATACTAGACATGATCCACACTGTCAAATGTTAAGAAATGTAAGAACATATAGTGATTTCCAAAATTAATCAAATATTATTCATCAAAACAGTTACACTATACTGCATTATCAACCTAGTATACTTTTTTTTTAGCTCATAAATATAACATTGCATAATTTTCAGGTCATCTGCATCATAGTGTTTATGTATTTGCGTCTAAATATCATGCAGTCCCATGTTACTGTAGACTCGTAAGATTCTTTGATCCATCTACGATCATTTTCAGCATTAATGTGTCAGAGGTATGAGTATATAGAAGTCAAAGTTATGGTTCCTTATTATTATCTTATTATTATTAGATATATTATCTGACACAATCTTTACTACCCTGATGCAGATTTCTTCTTATAATCTTGTGCAGGAATATAAATGACAAACCAAAATTTTCATGAATATGCCGTGAGCAAAGCTTACAGGGAACAATGTCCTTGTATCGGTTCTTCTTGACGTTATCCTGTTTTTCTGCTGTCTTGCTGGGGTAGGTCTTGTCAGTGCGGTACTTAGTTGACTGGCTTTTCAACCTCTGAAAAACAAGAGAGAAAGAAATGTATTCCTACCACATACCTTTACAAAATATGTGTCAGAGAGGTTCAACTTCAAAACCTTATTTTATGGTGCTGCTGCTGTTATAGATTCCCTCACATTATAATTAAAAAATGATGTGCACATGTGTATTTAATACAACATTTTTATAGGGTGTAATGTAGTCTGATGTTTCTTGCTAATGCAGGAATGTAGTCAAGTTTTTGAATTTTGAATGAGCAAAACCAAGTTTTACAGTAATTCATTTTCAATGCAAGACCAGTAGTATGAAAATTATATGAGCCTCAGGATATTTGGGAATTGTTTCTTTAGGTCAAATGCTTTCAGGTCACAGCTAGCTTAACTGTATTTATCCCCACCTTACTGCTGTGACACATATATACGATAGTTATGGCACATTTGTAATTTTAAAATATGTTTTCAATCTTACAAGAGAGTTGGGAAAAAGAGGGGGCCAATTTCATGTGACCAATTGCACAATGGTCACACATGGTCATTTTTTATGTGATTCAACCCCGAATGACCAGAATCTGTGACTCACTTTACAAAAACTGACACGATGTCTTACAAACTGAAAGGATTTCCATCCGGAATTTACTGTGCGGAAGGCTTGACACTCAGAGTTAAGTCATGACACGTCCATGCTGACAGGATTTGTTAAGACACTGGTCTTTTTGTTCAGGGCAGTTCTTGCAGCTCCAAACAGTCTGCTAAAGGCCTCGCAGACCATCTGCACTGCTAACACCACAGAGTGCTTTTTGTTCACAAAGGAAGTGATGCAACAGACCCCTTGCTCTGGAGTGGTGGTGGGGGGGGGTCGGTAGCAGCAGCATGACACCAGAGGGACAGCATGTGAAACACACGGTGCTGTCCTCGGGCTCTGGCCTGTCACTCATCACCATGGCAGCGGCCCACAGATGATGTCACCCTGAGGCTTGAGACTTCTAAGGAAGAGTTTTTCAAGCATATATATATGTGCGTGTGTGCCTTTAGGTGTGTGTGTGGTGTGTGTGTGTGTGTGTGTGTGTGTGTGTGTGTCGTTGTTGTATATATACAAGACTACTAAATGATAAATGAACAAATGATAGACTGATTGAGTACTGTTTGCTAGTTGTTAGATGTTATAATGCATTTGGATATGGGTCTTCCTCATTCATGTTACTTCAGTGACAAGCATCGGTGCAAAGAGGAAGCACAAAAGTGGCGTTGAAGACATTATCACAACAGCACTGTGTTACTTCCCTGAACATGATGAACATGATGAAATTTGGACGTCTGGAAAACTTTCCTTCTCATTGTGCTTACTGACAGTTGATTCAGTATATACAAACATACCAGTTTTGACATGGTTTCGAATTATGTGATAATGAAAGCGACAGGAGAAATGAGTCTTCTATGTGGAGGCTTCAACTACATTACAACTCACAACAGTACTTCAACAAGAGGAACAAAACACTTACCGTAAACTCCCCAGCAATGCCATTGGGTGCCTCCTCGTCCACAGCCTCCTGTCTCACAAGCTGAGCCAGGAAGCTCCTCAGTATCCAGGCTTGATGCTCCATGACTGGCTCACTGCCTGGGATAGGGCACCTTTTACAGGCATATCAGGACACAAAGGTCCTTGTCCACCTTTCATGGATTAGAGTCGCCAAGGCTCGTGTTCAGGGCTGTGCGCTTCTACTGCACAGAGCACTTCTCTATTGCAACTCTGACATCAAGGAACTATTGTAAGGGAACGTGTGAGCTGTCTTAGAGGAAGCAAGAGTAAGCTAACAGGTTCTGTGGTCAGATTAAAAAGTTTGCCGCGCCCCCTGTGTGTCTCTCACTGGGTCCTAAAGTCACCCGGGTGGTTATATGTATGACAATGTCACAGACAGACTGAGAGGGAAACACCCACAAATAGTGGGCCACACATGTATGCATATACAGGCACACACAGCTGTTCAGAGTGTAGGGCAGGCTGTCTAGCCTGTTGGACAACATTCAGGACCCACAAGAGGAGTGGAGGAGGGAAGTGGGTAGGGATGGAGGCAGAGACAGAAGGAGTGGTAAAGAAAGAGGGTGTGTGAGAATCCTGATGTTCTGAGCCAGCAACCCATTTATGCCTACTGTATCCCCACAGTAGTGATTTGTTGTGGTTAAAACAAACTCACAGTAGTTGGGATGAAATACTATACTAAGTAAACTCTGCCATTTTGGTCAAATTCAAATGTATGTACTTACTGTAATTTGTTTAGTGGGTTGGCTGTTCAGTTTCTAAGTTTACTAAGTAGGCTTTAAAGAGAGATGAGGATGAAAAAAACAGTATCATGATAAAGAAAAACATACTGAAAACAGACTTACCATAAAAGCTGCCGTACAGTTCATGTGAGAGGAGGGGGAATACTCTGCCTCAGCTATATGTGAAATGAGAATGTTTTTTGTCAGATATGACATTATGAAGAAGACTGTGTTGCACGCTGCATTCAGCAGGTGTCCGTACATCAGTAGCATGGTGACCTCTAGTGGCTTTGTGGTGAATTAACACAAAGAGTCACTGGCATGAAAATGAAAATGAGTGGCTTTATTCAGTGGTTTTCGTCAAGTCTTATGTTGCAAATAGAATCCCATTTAATTCATTAACAATTTATGCAGCTGAGTGAAATGATTATGCTATTAGCTCAAAAGATGGAGGCTTTTACAATAAGAGGAAAACGAATGTGACCTATTTGTGTGGTATATCATATTCTGTGTTTAGGGCCTAACAGCATGAAAGTATTTCTTTACCCCGCAATGCACCTACAGGAAGCTGCCATCACCACAGTCCATCAGTACAGCTTCCTGAGCGCACACTCTGGTTGTGAAGATTTCGTACTCTTACCATAACATCAAAATGAAGATACTGTGTCTAATTTGGCTTGTTCATGGTGAGTGAGCTTTGATTCACAACTTCATAATCGTCTTTTTATTTATTATAACATTTCTAAAACTGAAACAAATTTCTATTCCTTTTGAAAAAATTAATTTACATTTAAGTTTAATTTAATCAGTTACTGGAAAATCAAAATGTGGATAAGCATCTGTGATATTCTTTAGTGGCACTGGAGTAACCAGTGCCATCCATTGTGCCATATTTGATATTTGAAAATACATTTTAGCAAAGGAAGGTTTTGATGTGTTTTGGATACGTCGCATATTTCACATTCACATATTTTATATATTCCACATGAGGAAATATTTGTTTTATACACTTTCGAATATAATAGTATTTACAGATCCAAATGGTATTTTTCATACGAGTCATTTCATAAGTTAAGGCCCGAAGAGGACAATGTGCTGCCAAACCACACGCACTTTTCATTTTACATTAGGTTTTTTCCATGTGGCCCATTGTTGTTTTTACATGTTTTTGTTTACAAGTTTCACAAGGTTCTTATTAATATTTGGGTCAAACAATGATGTAAATCAGCTAAAAACTAATTGTGGCAGCAAGAGCATTTATCTGACTGCTGTGGTTATGAGAAGTTTCATTCTGATTGGACTTTTCCTTTCTTTTTACAGCAAGTCTTCAGCTTCAGTGTGACAAAGATCAAATATCTGCACATATTGGAGGTCAATTCATTCTTACCTGCAAGTATGAAACAAACCGTTTCCTGTACAGTAAAAAGTACTGGTGCAGAGGGGACGCCAGAAGCACCTGCGAGATTTTGTTAGATTCGGACGGTGTTGCTAAAACTAAATATACACACAGGTCTCACATCATAGATGCAAGGAGTAAAGGGCTGTTTGTGAAAGTCACTGATCTCAAAATTGAGGACACTGGAGTGTACTGGGTTGGGATTGACAAAATGTATGCTGACATCATGACTTTAGTTAATGTGGCTATCACTGAAGGTAAGAAAATGTATATACTATCACAATATCAATCAAACATTTATGGACTTATTTGGATATTTAGTCCTCTATACTGCCAAGCTAACTGAATTCAAACATATCACTTGCTTGTTTGTGCCAGTTCCAGTGTCTAAACCCAGACTTTGGCCCTTGAGCTCTCTGGCGGACAGGCCAACATGCTGGGGGCAGCCGGTGACAGTGCGCTGTGGATGTACAAAGGGCACTACTGTTCAATACACCTGGTATCAAAACACTCCCCACAAGGATTTACTGCTTCACCACTCATCAGACTTATACGTGCACTGTGGCACAGTGGACAAGGACAGCAATTACTACTGCATTGCTAGTAATGCCATAAGTAATCAGCGGAGTGATATTCTGTCTGTGCAGGTTCTGATGCCTGCAGACAACAGCTGTATCTATGTCATTAATATGCAGGGTAAGAACAGATGGGATTTCATATTCTCTCCTATAAATATCAGTGCAAGAATGGGTAACACGTTTAATGAAGCCTGTGTTAATAGTGTTTTATGGATACTGTCAAAATGCCTCATAACTATGAATTATAAGAAATGCTTTAATACATCATAGCGGCATTGTTTTAGAACTTATTTGGATTCAAATATATTAAAATTTGACAGTAAGTACTAGTGCAACAAAAATACATATGTCTAATGTCAAGTATGTTCATAATACCTCACAAGAACATTAATGTCCCTTCTACAACCATAATGGATAATGAGTGTAATTATGGCATGTAAAAATGATTTTATGACAGCTCACATGGGTTTCAAGTTCAAAGTAAAGTGTCAGTTTATCAGTGCTTTTATACAGTGCTTATAGGTGCTGTATTCTAAGCTTGTACATGTTGTTGTGTGTCTTTGTGAAAGCAAGAGCACATTTGACAAGTTTTACTGTACAGTTATAAAGGTCAATGCGAAATAAAACAACCTATCTTTATGCTTTTATTTTGGCACTGGACAGCTTATGGGTGGAAGAAGTAAACAGGAAGTCAAGCCACGAGATGCTGAATTATTCATTGACACACAATTTATGGGTGTTCAAAAGTATGTCTCTGTGTGTGTCCTAGTAAATGAAAAATTTTTCAGTCAGTTTTTTACTATTAATAGGGCTGTGCCTCTGCTTGCTCTGTAACAACACACATGTGACACCTATCACTTGTGTCAGCAACACAGGGTGATGGTTCTTGCCCAAATACAACCTTACCTCACTTCAATAACGGAGTATTGGAAAACCTTAGAGACCTTGCAGAAAGGGATCTTATAACATCTGATTCAAAATGGGTGATTGCGATATTGTAAATGACTGAATACTGATATATTTCATCATTATGAATACTGTTTTTTGAATGACTCTGGCGTACTTATATTATGGATTAAAGCCCTTGTGTGTTTGACTTTGGCGACTCCTAGTGGTCGTATGAAAAAAAGACACTGTGGCAAACAGCAGTGTATACCAACCCCTGCCCCTCATTAACCTCGTAGATGTGACCCCCCCAAAAAAACACGCCATCAGTATCATATTTTAAAGATTAAAAACTGGACATTCTAATAAAAATCCTAAACAAACTTTTTTAAGCTTTAAGTAGGAATACTGAATATCATAGGCTACATTATAAACATGGGCTTTATAGAATATATGGGTCTGATTTGTCTTGAGACTGTTGTGAAATCCTTATTGCACAAGGTACAAGATCGCCATTGTAATGTCTTTTCTTTTAATCATCAGGCCAACCCATTTATGACTGTGCGGACAGAATGAGCACCACCACGGCCAAAACTACACCTCTGACTACCTGCCAAGCTACCATAAAAATCCACTCTGACACGAAAAACCAGTCTATACAAATCAATCAAACTGATCTGTTTTTCACCAGGTTAGACAACACAGCTTTTGTTTTACTCAACTTGATGAATGAATGGTTAAAATGAGATTCATTTGTTAGAATGTCTTAAAATGTTTGCTGAAAACTAATCCAATTTTTGTTCTTTTCAGGGCATGGACAGGGGTGCCATTTTGGTATATGTTGCTGCGTTGGGGTTCTTTTGCATCCTTACTGATTTTCTTGTGCATAGTGATCAAATGTACAAAAGTGAGACACAAACCTGTCAAGAGGAAGGGAAGGAGAGGAAGGCCCAATTTGGCTTAGTGACGTGAATTTCACAGTGGTACTTCTTTGGAAGTCATATCAGACCCGTGGCGCTGGGTGGTGGTTTTATTGACAACACCTGATGGCTTGTCAAGAATCTGGGTCAGCATGTTTAGTTTCTTCTTCATTGTCTTTCTAACGCCACTACCAACACACACAAGTCAACCCAGACCTTTGCTTTCTTTACCAGGATTTCCATTTAATATATTTAAAGAGGTAAAAAAAGAGGAATGAATTTGTCACCATGTTTGCTCAAAAATACTATAGCATTACTGTATTTGTTAAATAATGTATTGAAATAAAACTATTTCAATAAAATTAAGCAACTACAGTACTTTTACAATACCAGCTGGGAATGATGACTAATGATAAATCAGGCATTGTTCTGTGATGCTCTGAGAACATTTCCTTATTTGTAAAAATATGAATTTACTTCATCAGACCAAACTAATAGCCTACGGTTAGTGTTTATTTTTCTTCCATTCTTCTTTGTAATCACGTCATAGAACATTATGAAATAGGGGGCGTGTTTCAGAGCCTGGTCTTTTCGGGAAGCCAACCCACAGATCCTGACCTCAAAAAACACGACTTTCATTGCAATCATGTTTGAACCATCTAGGCCCAAATAAGATACATGCAGTAGTGTTGACTTCTAGTATGGCGGCTTTATTTTGATACATAAAAAAGTGTAATTTGTGTGTGTAAATAAACATGTAAATGTATAACTGGGCAGCGATTATTTCAAGTCTATTCTACGCAAAAAAAAAAAAAACTAAGTTTTAATATGCTTTAAATGTAAAAATAATAAAAAAAATTGTTGTAAAAATGTTTGTAAGTATATTTAGCCACATTAAGTAATGTTTGATTTTGTAGAACTCATCAGTGAAATAAAAGGGAAAAAAGGACTTTCTAAAGAATCTCTACCTTCACTACTGTACATTTGATACAAGGGTTTCAGTCTCTTTTTCATCTTGTTGATATGTAATTTAGGGGCAGTACATATAATACACATACGTACAAATACAAACAAAAAAAAAACATTTCAATGCTATCTTGGTAGCATTGAAATGATGGGAAATTGCGACACATCAGTCTTTCATTAATGTCCCAACAGTAAGCCCATCTTGATGCCTTCTTTTAAGGTTAGTGCTCTGTGCTGGCAACATAAGAGAGGAAGAGATAAGCTTGTGAGGTATGTGTAATTATACACAAGCTGGTGTTTGGTCTTGCATTAACTTGTCCTTACTTTCAGTGTCCTCTGTCTTTCTTTATTTTCTATTCCATTCTATTCTCTGATTCGGAGCTTTCTGGTAAATAATGCCATTTAAACGCTTTTTTGGACTGACTGATAATATCTAGTGACCAGTCTGTTAAGTCATTTGTGCATAATGATATCCAGTAACTTTAATTGAATCTTTACATGGGTTTTCTTTTTTGGTTTTGGTAGTTGTGGTTCTGCTGTAGAAGTGGAAAATGTTCATATTGATTGTTGTTGTTGTTTGTTGTTAAAATTGTGGTCACATGCGCCCCTGGGTTCATAATAAACGGATAACTCTGATGGTTCATGTTCAGAGAATTTATTTAAAAAATGTACAACGGCTGTGTCCAACCTGTGGCCTTTTACTGTATGTACCATCCCCTCTGTCTCTTCCTCTTTCTTGTCTATCTTCAGCTATATTCTATATATAGTTGCTGTTTAGCTTTTTTTTTTATTTAAAATTTTTGGGCACAGGTTTGAGAAAGGGAGTGAAGGCCTTTTCTCATGATAAGAAATTTCCATATCATACATATGTGCCGCTTCCAAATTGTGTGCTTCCTATTGCTGGAACAATCCAGTTCATTTAAATTGGCATTAAAGCATGAATTGATAATATATCAAATTATTGAGATAAGATATGTAAGTTACTGTAACAGTACAGATAATTACTCCAGTGTGTGTGGAATGTATTTTAACTAGTTTCACAGCATTTTAATTACATATAATCACAGATCCTGAGTAGGTTGGCTTTACTGTGATACATACATGAGTGTGATTTGAGAGATAAGTCAATGAAGGACTGTCCGTAAATAAAAAATAAAAATAAAGCTTGCTGTTGTTGGTGCTTTTGTCTTAGTGAGTGCAAACCAATTACGTACTAGTGTGTGGAACTTTTATGAGGGCTATAGAACAAAGATCGTTTCCTCAGAATATAGAGAGATGCAAATGCCTCACCAAGGTATTTGAAAACTAATCTTGTGCACAAACATTGAATCAGCAGTGAGGTGTTTTATGACATGGAAATATACCGTCTCAAAAAATTCCAAGTGTAAAAGAATATGAATATGTTCAGCGCTCATCCTGGACACAGAATCATCATCATCATTGGCTATCATAAGCTAGAAAGCAGAGCTATTGCTTGAAATCTGACCCATACTACTCACATTGTATTGTAGAAACTGTGTGCCATGTTGAACTATTTTGGCTTTTGGATTTGTATGGTTTTTGCAAAAATATTTATTCTGCATTATTACAACTATAAAGATAAAATATGAATTTAAATGTCAACATAATAAAACTTTGAATTCCCAAATTTCCTGTGCAAAGTCCTGTGCAATGGTTTTGGAGGCTCTTTCATCTGGTTTCCATTTAATTATGAGAAGGAAGAAGAGAAAAAATTGTGAAAGAAAACGTTTTTTTTACTCAGGGAAGTACATCACTTCCTCATATTGAATGTACCAGGGTTGGGCCCATTACATCACCCTCTATGAATTCCTTGTTCCATGGTCTACATGGTTTGCACAGGGATGGCAAATTGTGGTTCAATGGTTATCAGAAGACACATCAGTCATAATAACCATGTATGATTTATATAGAAAACAACCTTCACATTCACCATAGAGATCACAACAGTGAAGCCTTCTTTACATCTTTAACGTTAGTGCTCTATACTGACAATATATGAACCCACCCAACAGCAATATAGGGGATAGGTACTGAAGAGGGGGGCCTTCTAGGCATCTATTCAATTCAATTCAATTCAATTTTATTTGTATAGCGCCAATTCATAACAGAAGTTATCTCAGGACACTTTTCAAATAGAGCAGGTCTAGACCGAACTCTTTAAAACATTATAACAGCTGTGCCTATTGGCCCAGGATCACATAAGCCATGTGCGGTAATATTTTATACAACAGCTAAAAAGACTTTTGGAGACAGGTTGTAACACATTGGACGGTCTTTACAGACTCAATGATTGGAATCGTTTTTTGATAGCCTAAATGAGTCATCAGCATTCATAAATGTGCAAAGACTTATGTTTTTGTGTTGTTTGGAGTTTATGTTAACTTATCTAAATTGTGATCCATGTGGCTTTTTTTTTATTTAGTACTTCAATTTCATTTCGTTTGGGTGTATTTGTGGGTTAAGTAGTTGTATACTCATTAGTAAACCTGATGAAGTTTAGGAAGTGCGTCACCGCTTACAAAGCCACGCCTGTTCCCACAAAAACCGCAGGCGTCACGGACTTGGCTTATTTCTCCACTGTGAAGGCAGCGGCAGACGTAGTAAGGATTATTCACTAACTTCACATTTACTGGGTAAGTCAGAAGTTGATTCCTTGCTTTAACAAACTGCGCTATCAAAACTAACCACAACCAGAACGGCGATAACGCCTTTGTCGGGACGTTGACGTTAGCTAACTGATAGCTAGCTAACGCGGCCATGGCTCTTTTGCGATTTCAGGAATTTAGTAATGTATTTGACATGAGCAAACGTAAACACGCAGTTGAACACAGATTAACGCATTCCCCCCCACCATGAGGGCCTACCGGACATTTCGGCACATGTCGTATTTGAGTTAAAGTTAGATTTATATGTAAACGCCGTTAGTTTCACTGATGCGGTGACGCCCACAGTGTTTTAACGTTAGATTGAGGAAAATGCAAGTTAGGAAGTAACGCGAGTGATCTCGTAGTTTTGAGAGCTGATATCCGACTGCTGTATTGGCATCTTGGTCTTTATCTTATTTAAATATATGCCGAATTTGCCAGTCGAAGCTGTCGCTACAGAAGAATTGTGAATTAACTTAACGTCAGTTCGGTAAGATTGGACACGTTGGCAGTGTCACAATACTTCTCTAATATTGACAGATTTTGAATGGAGTTTGGTGTGATGTTTTTTTTTTTCCATTAGGCGACAAAGCTCAAGGCTCAGCGCATTTAGCCATGACCAGGAAACGCAGATTTGAGATATTTATTGTTATTACTGATATTGGGTATTTAACCTAAACTGAACTAACATAATAATTCGATGTAACGTAATAACGTTTGTAACGTTAACTCGCTGTTATCGATGACTTTGATAACCCAGGTAACGTTACATGTCTGTAATCTAACAGCTAACCTAGCTAATGTGTTCCGCGGAGAGGGCCCTGCTTGAATGGAGTCGACGCTAGTATCAAGCATCTTAACCAAGGAAATGCCCTTATTCTGTTACTCACTTCTTTGTTTATCTTTGCCAGAGAGGCTGACTTGACTTCAGCCGAATTACCAGATCCCGCCATGGGCGTCACTTACTTCCTTTTGTGCTGTCTCAGCCTCGCCATTACTGCTCAAGGTGAGCGGCAGTGCCCATAAGCCTGTCACATATTGTTTTATTACACACACAAGCTGGTGTTTGGTCTGGCGTTAACCTGTCCTTACTTTTAGTGTTCACTGTTCTCTCTCTCTCTCTCTTTATCTTCATTATAGCTCAAGACTGTTCCAGACCAGTTGGAGGACCAAACATGGTTTTGAAGGACAAAGACATTCTTTTAGAAACGTTCCCAGATGGGACCCAGGTTACTTTTGCCTGTGAGGTTGGCTACATATCTGCAGGAGGGTCTGCAATCAGTATTTGTCAAGGAGGCAGTTGGACTCCTGTCAGGCTGAAGTGCGAGAGTGAATATTACCAATTTCTATTCTCCATTCTCTGATTTAGAGCCTTCTAGTAAAATATTTATCTTTCAACATATACGACAACACTCTTTTAGATTAGTGACTGGTAATATATTGTGACCAGTCTGTTGTCGTTTGTGCATAATGATATCCAGATTTTTTAAAAATGTATTTTTTCTTGTTTCAGGAAAGAACTGTGGTCCCATTGGAGAAGTGGAAAATGGAAATGTTGATTACCCCGAAGGGACGGAGTTTGGTGATAGAGCTGTGATCACTTGTCACGATGGGTTAGTAATAAACTGATAATACTGATGGTTCAAGGAATTTATTTTTAATATATAACTGTGTGTAGTGTATTTAAACTATTTAAAAATATCAGCACCCATTATGTTTCCTGTCCAAAGTCTAACTTTTTTTTTTTTATTCTTAGTTTTATACTGGTTGGTAAAGATAAAATATATTGTCAAGACAAAGGGTGGGCCAACAGGTTGCCTGTATGTGAAGGTTGGTAATCAGTATTTGTTTAATTCATGGCAGATAAATGAATAAAAAAAACCCGTCTGTTTCCGTTCTAAGAGATGTCATTTTTATTTTGCAGTGGTGAGTTGTGATCCGCCCCCTGCAGTGGCAGATGGCACCTTCAAGCCAGTCAGTGAATCCTATTCCTATAGAGACGTTGTACAGTACAGTTGCCAAAAAGGTTATACACTCAATGGATCAATTTCAGCCTCATGTTCAGATGATGGAACGTTTCAGCCTGCTCCTCCCTCGTGTATCAGTAAGAGTTTTACATTTACCCCCCCCCCCAACCTTTTCTCAACAGTTTCTCAATTTAATCTCAGCTGTCACTGATGCACTCACATACTCTGGAAAAGGTTATTCTGGACAATTGTATTAATTTCTTATATTAATTTTCTTTTGTATGCAGTGGTTCGCTGCAGTGATCCCCAAGTAGACAATGCTGAATTGACAGAAGGTTCACAACGCGTTTATGGATACATGGCTACAGTGACATTCAAGTGCAAAACTGGATTTATGATGACAGGAGCGAATTCCCAGAGGTGTGAGATAAACAGTCAGTGGTCGCCTCCACTGAGTTGTAAACGTAAGTCAAATGAAAAGTACTACTTGATTTTGGTCTACAAATGTACACTACTCACAAAAAGTTAGGGATATTCCACTTTTGGGTGAAATTTATGGAAAATGGAAAAAGTTGATGCTATAGTGATATTATATCATGAAAGTAGGGCATTTAAGTAGAAGGTCAAATTAAGATCACCTGGAAAGGTTATAGTGCATTTTATGTACATTCTGAAATTTCATCCGAAAGCCGAATATCCCTAACTTTTTGTGAGTAGTGTAAGTGAACCTGTTACTATCTTTTTCGATAATTAGATTAGATTTACTGTGGTTAGTTTTTAGATTACATTTGCGTTGTTTTTTTTTTTTGTTTCTTTTTTGCATGTGTTTTAAAATTCAGGAAGTACCAAAAACACGTCGGCAATTTTTTGCTCTTGCTCAAATGACTCATAATTAATAATGTATATTTTGAAATCACTACAGTAGGGAAAAAAAAAAAATTCAGGATAAATCCATAAAATGACAAAACAATGAACAAATGACCAATAGCAGCAATTGATCACAGCCAGCTAGTAAACTTGCAGTATTCTGTGATTTTTGAAATGCATTACTTAGTCTTAATAAAAACTCTATTTTCATGTCATTTTTATTTTGCAGTGATAACTTGTAAACTACCACCTACAGTTGAGAATGGTTCCTTTAGTCCAAACAAAACGTCCTATAACTATGGAGAAGCTGTACAATACAGTTGCCAAAAAAATTACACACTCAGTGGAGCAAAATCAGTCACATGTTCAGATAACGGAATATTTACACCTGGTCCTCCAACATGTATCCGTAAGTGTTTTTATTTTTTCCTCCCAATATAGTTTCAGCTGCGATGGTTCAGTTTGAAGGTCCTAATATTGAAAATGCTGATTAAATTTATGAAGTTATGAAATCACCAAAGCTGAAAATGGATTTATCCTGAAATTTTTAATGTGAAGTCGTCTAACACACGTCCTCTGTTTTTAACAAATAACTTTCAAAAAATTATATAAATATTGACTTTACATATGAAGGAGGTTTGAAGTAGCCTTCAGAGTCTGAGTCATAGACTAACTAGTTTCTAGAACCTATGTATAAATCAATAATGTAATTCAAGTGGTAAAAGTACTACTTGATTTTGGTCTGCAAATGTAAGTGAACCTGTTATTATCTTATAACATGAGTGTATATTTAGATTTACTGTGGTTAGTTTTTAGATTATATTTGCATTGTTTTTTTTCCTTTTTTTTTTCTTTCCTTTTGCTAGTTTATTTAAATGAAGTGTTTTTAAAATTCAGGAAGTACCAAAAACACTTCGGCAATTTTTTGCTCTTGCTCAAATGACTCATAATAATAATAATAATAATGTATATTTTGAAATCACTAAAGTAGGGGGAAAAAAAAATTTCAGGATAAATCCATATAATGACAAAACAATGAACAAATGACCAATAGCAGCAATTGATCACAGCCAGCTAATAAACTTGCAGTATTCTGTGATTTTTGAAATGCATTACTATATTATAAAAACTCTATTTTCATGTCATTTTATTTTGCAGTGATAACTTGTAAACTACCACCTACAATTGAGAATGGCTCCTTTAGTCCAAACAAAGCGTCCTATAACTATGGAGAAGCTGTACAATACAGTTGCCAAAAAGGTTACACACTCAGTGGAGCAAAATCAGTCACGTGTTCAGATAACGGAATATTTACACCTGGTCCTCCAACATGTATCCGTAAGCGTTTTTATTTTTTCCTCCCAATGTAGTTTCAGCTGCGACTGATGTTCTTTGGCTGCAATGGTTCAGTGTGAAGGTCCTAATATTGAAAATGCTGATTGAATTTATGAAGTTATGAAATCACCAAAGCTGAAAATGGATTTATCCTGAAATTTTTAATGTGAAGTCTTCTAACACACGTCCTCTGTTTTTAACAAATAAGTTTCACAAAATTATATAAATATTGCCTTTACATATGAAGGAGGTTTGAAGTAGCCTTCTGAGTCTGAGTCATAGACTAACTAGTTTCTAGAACCTATGTATAAATCAATAATGTAATTCAAGTGGTCGCTTCCACTTATTTGTAAACGTAAGTCAAATGAAAAGTACTACTTGATTTTGGTCTGCAAATGTAAGTGAACCTGTTATTATCTTATAACATGACTGTATATTTAGATTTACTGTGGTTAGTTTTTAGATTATATTTGCATTGTTTTTTTTCCTTTTTTTTCTTCCTTTTGCTAGTTTATTTAATTGAAGTGTTTTTAAAATTCAGGAAGTACCAAAAACACTTCGGCAATTTTTTGCTCTTGCTCAAATGACTCATAATTAATAATGTATATTTTGAAATCACTACAGTAGGGGAAAAAAAAATTTCAGGATAAATCCATATAATGACAAAACAATGAACAAATGACCAATAGCAGCAATTGATCACAGCCAGCTAATAAACTTGCAGTATTCTGTGATTTTTGAATTGCATTACTATATTATAAAAACTCTATTTTCATGTCATTTTATTTTGCAGTGATAACTTGTAAACTACCACCTACAATTGAGAATGGCTCCTTTAGTCCAAACAAAGCGTTCTATAACTATGGAGAAGCTGTACAATACAGTTGCCAAAAAGGGTACACACTCAGTGGAGCAAAATCAGTCACATGTTCAGATAACGGAATATTTACACCTGGTCCTCCAACATGTATCCGTAAGTGTTTCTATTTTTTCCTCCCAATGTAGTTTCAGCTGCGACTGATGTTCTTTGCCTGCAATGGTTCAGTGTGAAGGTGCTAAAATTGAAAATGCTGATTGAATTTATGAAGTTATGAAATCACCAAAGCTGAAAATGGATTTATCCTGACATTTTAATGTGAAGTCTTCTAACACACGTCGTCTGTTTTAACGAATAACTTTCACAAAATTATATAAATATTGCCTTTTCATATGAAGGAGGTTTGAAGTAGCCTTCAGAGTCTGAGTCATAGACTAACTAGTTTCTAGAACCTATGTATAAATCAATAATGTAATTCAAGTGAATAAGTTTATCAATGTGAATCTTGACACACCGTTGATTACTCATGTTTTTGCAGGGTCAACAACACCTCCGACCACCACTACTACTACCACCACCACAGAGCCGCCAACAGGTAGAGTTCATGTTAATGCCTAAGAACCATCTAAAGCCCTATAGTACAGCATGTTCGATAGATGAAATGCCGCAAATTGTTTTGGGTGATCGTTTAGGCTTTTGGTATCAATCATCTCACAGTATCAAATCTGTTGAATATGTCATGGATCAAACTGCTGTCATTGTGTTTGTGTGAAGGAGTTACAGTTTAATGATCCTGTTCATGGTGTGTGTGTGTATATATAGTTAAAAGCATAAACAAGCCTTCTACTAGATTATGATATATCAATATGAAATCCAATTACAGATTTGATCTATACAATAGACTCTGGAAATAATTACAGAATTTTCCTTTGCCAAGAAATCTGTCTGTAACACAGATGTGTTACTGCTTCTGTTTGTTAGGGCTGAGCAATATTAATGTTTTCACATATATTGCTTTTTACCTTGTACAAAATTCCAACATGCCAACTAATTTTAAAAATCCCAAAAGTTTGAAATGTAACAATCGCATTAATCGTAAGTATACTGCCCTTTTTTTGAAGGCGTTTTTAAGATAAAATCTCAACAGATTTAATATAATAGAATTTTCTGAATATGTATAAATCATTTATGCAGTCCAGTCACACTATTGTTAAAACTCTTGTGCCAGCCACTGCCAAACATCATAACGTCCTACACCTAACATTTTCCTCAAAACATTGCTCATCCCTAGTTGATACAGAATATGGACTTGGTTTTCAAGCTTTAACTGTACATCTCTTCTTCAGCTACTCCTGGCTCAACTCCTCATAGTAATCCCTTATGTTAAATTAGTTTCTTTTTCTGTAACAGATAAGCATTTTGGTGTAATCAAACAACCATTTGACACAATTCTGTCCTTGTTCTTTTTACAGGCAATGGAGAAACAGTCAAGGTGATGCTGATTGTTCTTGGTAAGTTTCATCCTTCATTCTTGAACTGTAAATCAAAAATGTCAAATACTATTGAACCAAATAAATTCACGATGGCCTCAGAAGAACATCATTTTTATATTACAGTAGACTAAAGAGTTCTTCTGGAGGTATCCTTATGTGGTAATTGATGGATGTGTCACATTCCTGTCAATTTACTGTGGCTTGTGTTTTGTACAGGGCTGCACCTAACTATAACCTTTTTTTTTTAAAATCAATTAATGATTAATTTATGCTTAGTCAAAATATGTTATTGTATTATAACAATTAATTTACTCAAACTAAATATTAAGCCATGTCTCATTAATATTTCACTCATTTTATTCAATTACCATCCTGAAAAAGATAAGCTACAGGGGGAGCGGGTCCTCTTCCACAGAGGCTGCCATATTTAACTGCCATATTTCTACAGTATCACACAACGGGCAAACCAATCACCGGCTGTAGAGTTTTGCAGCCAGCATTATTTCTCCTACATGCTTGGAAGGCTGAGCTGTATTCAAATGGTTGCAGTCTTCAACTTCACTGCTAGGTGGCGCTAAATCCTACAAACTGGATCTTTTTAAAATCAGTCTTATTTCCTATATTGTTGTTGTAGTAGTCGTAGTAATTATTATTATTATTATTATTATTAGAATATTTGTCAAATGGCTGGTCAGAAAACCTGTGATTGTGTCGTGCTGGGATGTTCGGCTTTGAGCAATGTTGGTGGCACTTCACATTGCCTCTTTTCAGAATGCCCGGGTAGCCAAGCAGCATTTTTATTTTATTTTTTTTCCCATTTAATTTTCTGTCATTTCATTTGGGTTTTTTAATGGTCTGCCCCCAAGGAACGGACGCCGCTGCTCAACGAAAGGCGCTCAGCAGCTCAGTTCACACACTGAGGCAAAGGGCGAGTGAGAAACAACAGCTGTAGAGCCACAATAGATTCACACCGTCTCTGTGAATTAGGGGTTTATTTCAATTCAACACATTATGCAAATTGTTACGCACATGGACCTATTTCTGTAATTGATTATGTGGACAACTCTGCCATGGATAGAAAGCGCTGTATTGCCTTACCTTGCGTGGCACCCTTTGCCATCAGTGTGTGAATGGGTAAATGTGACCAGTCCTAAGTCCATTTACATTTGTTGTCCTCATTGGTCTCATGACCAATCAACCATCTCCGTTTTTTTTCCCCCATCAAAATAGCTGTCATCGGCACTTCCGGCATCTGCCTGCTCTGCGCGTTCTGCATCTACAAAAAAAAACGAGGGTAACATGTTTCGAATGTTTTATTTGTCTATGCAGACTAACTCTTTAACAGTTAATGGCATTAACAATGCTTGATCCTTGTCCTGTGCCTTCTCCAACCTTTTTGTGTCAGTGTTGTGCGTTTAGCCTGATGCTGAGCTTTCTGTCTCTCAAGTGTTATTAAGTGTTGCATGTTGCAATTGTGTGCTTTTGTATGGCTTTTTGATAAAGGTTTTTTTCTACCGCAGTGTCAATGTTGTCATAAGGAGGCGCTGTAATAAGCTCTCAAAGCACTCCCCTACACAGAGCTGTAGGCTACTCAGAAATGGCTCTGCCCCAAGTTCCTTACGGTGGTTTTAATGAAGTGTTGAAACACTCATTCAAATGTGGAGGTCAACTGGCAACAGATTAGTGTTGTTGTCAACACAAACTCTGTTAAGTTAAAATACAATCTGTAATTTCTGTTTGTGTTCACTAGTTTTTATTTTTTATATCAGCTAATTTTAACTCTCAAACAGAAAGTAGTGGTTGTTGGTATTTCACATTTCTCTAAATGTTGGGGTAGAGTTTGTGTGTAATGCCTAATCGACTGTATAGGAGGGTGTGTCTAAAAAAACAAACAATTTACTTAATAAACCCTGTCACACCACTTCTTATAAAGTTGTTAAACCTAAAAACAACTTGGTACCCCTAGGCCCCGAAATGTCTGCCATCAATATTTGGTCATGGATAAAAAGACCAGTGAAATTAAATATGAGAAAAATGTGACAACAGAACATTTGGTGGCTTAGTCATAGATTTCTTTGTGCAGACGAGTTGTGTGTTCTTTACGTTTTAATTATAAATACAAAATGTGAAGAACACTCACTGACTTATTTTTTATTTTATCCTGATTTCAAATTTCCGAACACCAGGCCACATGATATAAATATAAATATAAATATAAATATAAAAAGGTTATTTTGCAGTGCAACAACAAACTCCACATGCACCTTTCTGTGTGCTTGATGTTGCTGTGGTGACCTGTTTTCTGCTCTTAGAAATGAACAGGTACTGTTTTGCATCTCACATATAAATTTGGATATTTCGGCTGTGAGAGACCGATAATGGCATCAGACAGGCCTGGTGTTTGTGTGTGTGTGTGTGTCTGAGATGTCTTTTTGTAAATGGGTGGTCGGTAGTCTTACGGGTGAAGAGAGTGTCTGGGCTTCCTGGAGCTCTTCTTGTCCTTGTCTGCCTGGTCATACATAAGCTGTAATGTTGACCAGTTAATATTGGATTACAGCTCTGGAAGAGGTGGTCCTGACAAGGAAGCTCCCAAATCTGAAGAGGAAGTAGCACTCTCGGTAAGAAGATAGACCACCAAGTGCGCTTGAACTCATTTATTCCAAATGAACCGATAATGTAGTGACGAGCAAGAATAATATGTGACAGTGTGGCCAGAAGCTTTCCTATTACTTCACACTGTATTTGCATGATGTTTTAATGTTCAAGATTTTTTTTTTCCTTCCATGTTATCCTGGGCACCCAACTAACCTGCTGGACAACATCCTTTTAAACCTTTCACAGTTCTTTATTCCTCTCTTCCACAGGGTTGATCAGGTTTTCACACTTTGTTTAAAATGTCTGATTTTAATAACATTTCTATTTTTTTTTTTTTTTTCCTCCTGCAGTAAGCGGGCCACTCCTGTTGCTGCAACATTACTGCGTGTAAAATGACGGAAGAAGAAGGAATCGCACTGGACTAGTCCTTGAATGTATTTGTGCTGCCTATGTGCTTGCGGGTGGCACAGGCATACGAAACCCTGAAAAATGTTTCTCAACGGCAATCTGAGATTAAGCAGTTTGAACTCAATCCTTATGCTTTGAATGGTTCTTCTAATAATAATTTCCATCTCTGATAGACTACTCATAACTACTACTTTCCTTTTCTGAGTAATCAAATTGTTTTATGTGGGATTCTTTCACTTTTACAACATCAACAGTTTTTCTGTAATCATGAAAGAATGCGTTTTTATGTTGATCAGAGGCCATGTTGATTTAAACTAGCACTATTTCTCAGAGCACAGCTCACCTTGGCCAATGTAGCTCAGTTACACAGCTGGTCTAAAAATAAGCAAAATGAAGAGCGAATGTTTGCATGGTTCACCTTAAACTAACTCCTAGCTAATAAACCAGATATCTAGTCTTGTAGAGTCAACTTCCACCATCACAGATATCAGTGGGATAAATTAAAGTCCCTAGTCTAGTGCCTGAATATAAGGCATGTTCCATATGCCTTAATACAGAAAGCCAAGTGTTTTAGCTTGTGTGTCACTTGTGTGTTTGTCTGTGAATTATATACATGTTAACACAGTTGTTTGGGTTTAACTGGCTTAATTGTGAGCCTTCCTTAACTTAATGTTTATGCTAAGGAATTCGCTCTGTTCAATGTTGGCACAGTGTTTTGTGCCATCCAGCTTCACGAAATTAAGTTTCTTCTTTTTCTTTCGCAGTTTATTTGACTTTTTTCCCCCCTCCCTTCAAAGTGTTTTGTAGATATCTCTCTTGTCCACTGTTATTTTCAGTTTAATACCTTTTTAATGAGAGGAATACTTTGAGTATCAGGGTGCATAAAATGCATCTGTTACATAAGGATGTATAGACTGTGATCTTGTAAATTTTTGCACTTGCCTGGCTTTTTAGCTCTATTTATTGATCGTGATGGTTGAACATCTTTAAGATTTTTGTGTTTTGAGGAGACGGGTGAAGAATTGCTAATACAATTGGCACTACTTTTGTAATCAATTGATGGAATAAAACAACAAAGACGACACCAGTGTATTCACAATGTACTCTTTATATATAGTTTACATACAATATGTACACAAGATTTCATTAAATCTAGTTTTATCCTGCTGTGGAAATGTGCTATTAAGCAGTGGAGCTTGAAAGGTTAATACATGTTTGTCAACCCTTCTGCATATACAGAAATTACATTAGTGAGAAAAGTATTTTATCATCCATGTGACAGTTGAACCATCTGATATGCAGTATACATGTGTAGCTATGCATGAATATGCTACTGTATATAATACGGAGGTTATCTGCTACCACTGTACATTTATCATGGAGAAATAAGAAAAAAAAAAGTTCACTTTAAGGCTCATAGATGCTAAAAATTAAAACTTGTGGACATGGTTTATTGTCCCAAATATTTTATGGAAGTTATAACATCTTTTAATAATGATAATTGAATCAGTCTATAGCTACTGTAGAAATATTTTGTACTGTGGGTACAAAGACTACTCAAAAATAATTCCTCAAATATCTTCTCTTAGAGTGCCACCTGGAGGATTTGACAGACTAGAAACGCTCCATTGATAAAGTTGGCATAGAAACGTCCAGTGGTGGGATGTTACAAGTCCATTTACTCAACAGTACTAGAGTACAATTTTAAGGTACTTGTACAGACTTATATTTAGTTAATGCTTCTTTATAGTTGCATCACTACATTTCAAAGAAAAATATTTTACTTTTTACTTGACATTTATTTGACTGCTGCATTACTTAACAATAAATAATTGTTAATAATAAATGAAGTCAATCAGTTTAGACATCAGTGAGAGATCCAGCTTGGATGGAGAACTCAAGAAGCTGGTGACCACTGTAAGAGTAAAACAAACTTTCACTGCAGTCAATCGGTCCGTAAAATAAAGAGCACAGCGTAGTTCCAAAATCCTCCTCAAGGTACGATGAGATCTGTCCTTCACTGTAACCGATTTCAAATGGTGCTAGAAACAAAAACAGACTCTGAACACCGAAAGAAATCGGTCAACCTTGGATTCAGGACAAAAGAGCTTGAGCTGTCAAAACATCACTGTAGACTGGTGGATAGTAGTCCACGGAGTAGAGCCTCAGGGAGCGATACTTTGAGAGAAGTGAAATTGTCTCTGGACACCTCTTCACAGCTGCCTGATGCTGGCTAGTGAAATACACTGCTCACCCTTAAGTGGACTGCATAGTTAAAACTAGATGCAGCGTGTGTGATGTCTCCCATAGATTTCTGAAGGGTTTTTAATGTTTATTTCTGCTGTAAATTTGGACATTTTATATGGGGCCTTAAGGAGATTGATTACTTCTGTAGCCAGCTTTAAGTGGCCATTGGAGGAACTGCAGTTTTTGATACTTCCGTGTTGGCTTCATTTGCCGGCAATGGAGGTTGCCGCTTGTTCCCACCCCAAGAACACTGATTTCAAATGGTGCTAGATAGATGACAATACTCTAAGCCACCATCTGAAACCAGCTTCCAAGGGGGGCTCTTCTGACAATAGGCACCCTTCTGTGGCGTAAAACACACTGAATCTAAAAAATAATGGAAAATAGTGGAAAACAATTAGTAAGAATAGTTGCTAGTTTGATCAAATAAAACACGATTCTCAATTATAATGGCTGTGGTACAACTAGGAAACATTTCAGTTAGAACAGGAAATGGAAAGATATTTGAGTGTACATAAATAGTTCAGATGCAGCAGTGGACACACCCAGCCTGATATCTGCATGTACTGTAATTAATACAGAGCCTAAGAAAGATATGGTAGATGTGAAGCAATTACTGATATGGCAGTAGCGTGAGACAAAGCCCAGACTTAGGAGCCTGAAACACATGCAAACTGTAATAGTTTCATTACTGGAATTAATACTTTGAAAGGGGGAAAAGGTGTTATGGAAACAGAGGTTGAAACAGCTTGGGATTCCTGAAATCCAGGCCCACGCAGCGAATTCTCTAAAGTACGCCACATTTTTAGATTAATTACGTTGTCGTATTTGTCGCCACTGAACTAATTAATGTTAAGTATTATTTATTTCTCATCCGGCACTTCACTTTTAACACTCATCACCTGAAATTGTAAAAGTGGCACTGAGAAAATAGAAAGACATCTCTCATGGAACGGTCGAATGTAAGCAACTGTAAAAAAAATAAAAATAAAATGTAGAAACTACCCATTGGATGTTCTGTTTGCAGATTTGAATTATGCATTAAACAAACACCCACAATAATATGACACAAGTATGCGTGGCATTTCATCATAATAGACTTACACTGGTTCCTTCTTTCAGTGGGGAAAGCTGACTTCAATAAAATATGTGAGAGGACACTGAAAAGATAACAGCTGTTAGAGGGATTGTCATTAAGTCTTCATCTGGAGGTCTTACCACTTGCAAATAGAACAATTATTTAAACAGTGCCTCATTGGTATTACACTACACAACCTCATTACACTTACGCATGTCAGTAAATTAATAATAGGCACAGTAAGTTTTACATTTTGTCTCTCTACTTTGCTGTTGATTGGACCAAGATGATCATCCAGGGAAGCCTGGCAGCATCTTGGAGACAATCAAGAGACCTCAAATGTAATGTACTCTGGGATGGTTTAGGCTCATGGTTGTGCTCAGAAAGAAGTTTAATTCACTGCCCTGTTTCAGGCCAGAAAGCAGATGGAGGGAGAGAGAGCGAGAGAGGGAGAGAGAGATGTAATGGAAAACCACTGAGAAAGCACCAGAATACCCCTCTCTCTCTCTCCCCCAATCTATGTCTCTCTAATACACCCACACGACTGATCTGATACTTGATCCAAGCTTCGCGGATGTGTGAGGGGCCACACAAGAACAGACATACAAAACACTGCCACTGCATGTCTTTCACATACAGGCTCACCTGCAGCGCTATGCAGACAGACCTCGATAAATCCTCTCCGTTGCTCGGTAGAATAGTGAGGACGATAGCCCGTTGCTCTCCAGCCACTACGAGGGAAAAAGCAAGGAAGTGGCAGTCAGTCGCTGGGAATGAGAGCCATGACGCAGGCATGCAGCTACCATACACTGAGAGGGTGGGGCAAGGACAGGTAGTGGCCAGTTCACTGACTTCTTGCCAAGTGCTTCAACAAAGTACAATACTACCCAGCCTATTCTAATATCCCTTTTTCCTCTTGCAGTTTTTACTCTTTGCATGGAGGTAAAAAGACAACTGCCAATTCATCTTCCTTCCTCAAACCCCTCTCCAGAGGACACACAAAACAGTCTGCCTTATTTTTCCCATGTTTACAATGACAACTCCCATAAATGCTACTTTTCTTGAAACTGATTAAAGTCCAATCAGGGAAGCCTAACCCCAGCCTCAAAACATCAGATGCGATTTACTTTGATTTTTACAGTAATCCCCACAGCCCTTATCAGGCTTCAGATGGGCCAGGCTAAGCCATTTTTTTGTCGGGGCTGTGTGTGAGAGTGTACAAGTGTGTGTGTGTGTGTGTTTGCACTGTAGTCACAGTGACGACTCTGATCAGAGGGCCTGTCTGTTCGTAGGTGTCTGGTTCCTTTGCCTGGCTGGCTCAACCCAACCCTGTCAGTTTTCTTTTTCGGGTTGTTTGTTGCTTGTGTGCCACTGGACCTGTTGTGTAATGCTTATAAAAGATTTAAAGGGACAGAAGGCCTTCAGATAGCAGTCAACGACAGGATCACGAAGGAACTGTGAATCACTGGGGAAACCCATAGGGGAGAATATGTTCACAGTGGTCCTTATTTAGAGAGAAACGGGAATATTGCTGAGTGAGCAAACTGCAGCAAAACATGCACAATAAGCAATTTGTTAGCAAGTTAAAATCCAACTTACGGTTAAAAAAAAAAAAAAACGTGTTATGAATCCTCTATGAATCCCACTTCTGTCTCTGAATGTGTCACGATTATGCCTTGTGTAGTCTACACTGGTAGACTGTAGTGTAAACTCATTCATAAGGAATGACCCCACTAGAGGTGAGGTGACTGGGGGAGAACTGATGCTAAGAATTGTCTTCATCTTTATAATCATTTAGAAAGGAAAACTAAAAAGGTAGCAATAGTACATTATGCCATCAGCACATTTAGAAGAGGGCAAGTGAGAAAAAAAGAGACACAAAGACGCTGACTGTAGAAGCAGGAGCTGCAATGCAGACCACGGGCAGCCACACTCGCTCTTGCATCATCTCAGAAAGGTGGCATCTTTTCGACGTTGGACAGGAGAACGAGAAGACCTCTCTAGTCAAGGGGTTTAAATCCTTCCGATGACTGCCCCCCCATCACAGGTATCAGAGTGCGTTCTGGAGGACTGTTCTATTGGTACTCTTCCTGTTAATTAATTCCAATTAACTGTTGGTGCACAGCAGGTCACATGCACAAATGCGATGTTAAAAAGCAAATTCAAGCATTCTTAACTGTTAAAGGAAACAAATATTACCAATTTTAACAGAAATTCCCAGTTAACGTTCTACAACGTAACAATAGACCAACAGCTCCACCTATATAAACATCCATTGTACCCATGGAACCATGGAAAGGTGTTTTTGGAACTGCCAAACCTTTGTATAAGAGAACAATGATTCTTAACCAATCAGATGTTGAACTCCAGCTGCGTGCTTATACTAAGCCAATAAAGCACTGCTGTGCAGCTTGAGGAGCCAGAGGAGCTCCTCCCATCCAATGAGAACCCAGATTTGGCACGAAGGCCTGTGATGCAGCAGCTTTAGGAAGTCCAGTGCATGTGAACTGGAGAGAAGCCAAAGCAGAGTCACCAAGAGAGCAAGGTAAACAACTCGTCTGTCTTTCTCCCCCTTCTCTTTCTCAATCTCTCTCTCTCTGATCCTGAGCCATGACATTTAGCCCCTTCTGTTGTCCCCTTTCTCCAAGAGAGAGACAGATAGAGAGATAAACAGATAGAGAGAGGGAGAGATACAAGCTGGTTGAAAAGAAGTCCGGCCCAGAAATGACTGCGTCACCATCTCTGTCTCTCCTAACTACGCAGAAACAAATGTGTCTTGGGAAGGGTTCTGCCAAATCCCAGTGGCCCTGGAGGGTGAAAACAAATCACATGACAAAAGTGCCACTAGCCACAGACATCAAGCTGATCTGTTGTCAGATGGCAACATACAGCTGGATGCCAACCAGTCTGCCTAAATACACGCCTGCCTCTCTCTCTCTGTCTCTCTCTTCATGCTCACTCTTTCCTTTAACTCCATTAAGAGTTAACCACAACAAGTAGGCCAACAGTTCAAACACAGGAACATATATGTACATATGTAGTGACATAAAATATCACCCTGTTGGCTGAATTCAACAACAAACTTATCCTGTAACCTTTGAAGGCTGCTGTAATGTCCACCTGGCTCCACACCCCCATACGATGGTGTACTACACGTATAATACAGTTTCATAACAGGTCAGACGGCACCATGCATGACTGTATTCACCTATTTGCGGAAATCATCCGTATTCCTGAAGGTGATGGTAATCGAATACCTCGATAAAACATTCCTGACTGAGCTTCGCTGTGATATTAAGAACCTTCCAGAATATTCTTTTGTTAACCCCTTTGTCGCACCTCTGGCCGCCCAACACACACACACACACACACACGCGCGTACACACACACACACACACACACACACACACTATGCTGTCAAAACAAGACCTAGAGAAACTGTGTCACATCATCAGCATCCATGTTAGAACTCCCGATATCAGCTCACAGGAACTATACAGCACACACAGACACACACACACACACATATATATAGTAGCGACAGGCAGAGCTGATCAAAACTACCAAGGAGGAAGAGGAAGAGGAGGAGAAAGCCGAGGTTGTCCGAAACCACTGTGTCGACTTCAGGTGGAAAACTCGATGACTCTGGGCTTCTGTTATCTCAGCTTCTGTTTCTCCTGACATGAAAAAGTGACGTAGCAACTAATCCAAAATCTCTCTCTCTCTCTCACTCACTCTCTGACTTGCTCTCCCTCCCTCTCTGTATCTCCTCTCTCTCCCTTTCTGCTTGCCTCTCAAACACACGCACTCTTTATTTTCATCTGGTTGCAACAGCATAAACTGCTATTAGACTGCTACTTCGAACTGACACATATGCACAGAAACAGAGACACAGAAACGCACGCACACACACACGCAGTCGTGCACATGCGCGCTTGATCACGCTATTCCTCTGCCCGGGTGTGACGCAGCACTTAATTCTCTGTGCTTTTATACCAGTTGTGACTACACAACCCAACTTCTTGATCAAGCTGAGCCACAAACACACTTGCTAGCTGCCACACAAGGCCAGTGAGCATGAGCAGACTGCAGTTAAAGGGACCCTACCACCATGGCTCCCTGTCCCACACTCTGTGACGTTGTTGTGTTCCCATTTCCCCCTATGTCCCCTTATAATTGGGTCTCTCTGCCTCTCGGCTGCCCTCCTCTCTGGCGATCTCCTCTGCTCTCGGCTAGAGACACACTCTGTGCTCCTCTGTCTGTGAGGCCGAGCTGACTGAGTCTCCTCGATCACCTGACATCCTACTGGTTTTAAAGGCACATCACCAGCTTAGTATCAGTTGCATAAGCACTCAGATGGTCTTTTGGCTTTTTAAATACAGTCTAATGAGGGATTCCACTTATCTTTGAGTCTGCACCAAAGGGAATATTTACACGGTGCTCTGGTTTACGTTGTTTTGATTCTTTTGTAATACCCATATGTTGGTTACTATAGTGATTTCTGAAGTAGAATACATGGTGTTCCACAGTCAGTGTTACTACTTTTTACCGCCAGAGTGGGGCAAGCGTTGAAAAAAAGTATTCACTGTGAGGTGATCAACCATCATAACGACACTCTGACTCTTAAGCATGAATAGAGCTACCCCATGTGCTTCCTCTTTCCGTTCTGGCTGCTTCCTACCACAGTTCTGCTCTAAAGGAAACAGAGCACCGTTTTATCCACTGTTTCTATTCAAAGTAACACTGTTATCCAGTTACAAAATCATGAATCTTGTAAAATGATAATAAGATTTAAAAAAAAAAAAAGCATGACTGTCAATGAATACATGATAGTTTAATATTAATGCACGTGTATTAAATGTAAAGCAGGAATGTAGCTGTTCCTTTAAACGGACTGTGTTCCTGTCTTATAAATAGTCTGTTTTAGTTCAGTCGAACATTAGCAGAGTTTATTTTAGGAACTTGGGTCTTTGCAGTTTTATCTGATAGTTCACATACCTTGATCAGATCATTTGTAAATCACAGTTGGAGCTGAGGGAAGATGAAAAGACAAAAACACCTTTTAGAATGCAAAACTTTAAAAATTAATGCCCTGAAAATGAACAATCACTGAATGTGAGTCAAAGGACAGTGCTGCAGGTTATTTGGGCTGTTGCATGACATATGAACAACAAAGGGGTCAAACTATACTAGGATTCTATTATATACAATGTTCAAGTCAAGATAAATACACTGTGAATGAATTCTCACAATCTACATCCATAATTTGTCTGGGGACAGTCCAATGAAAGAAAATGTTTGAATCTGTTATAGCAGAATATAATTAAATATGTCAAATTATCCCATTTGTGTTGGTGTAGCTTTAGCAGCAACGCTGAAAACAGTGTCCAGCGGGGCAATAAGAGGAACAAGCTCGGTTCTGTCTCTTTCATGAGCTTGTCTGTTCTCAACAAGGCTGTGCCTATTAGGTCAGTCTGCATTTCTGAAGCATAAAGTCCCCTTTATATGCTAAGCTGAAATAAAAGCTTTGTCTCAGTTAACAAAGGGTAAACAAAGTTAGCTCACAACCACATTTATTATAGAGATATATGACAATGTGTGCATTCAACAAGTGCCTCAATAAATAATTCAGAATTTTAAAAACTTAAAAACTTGGAAGAATACTTCCACAGGGGACAATATTTATTCCAAACATCAGAACTGCTGGTCTTAAATTTTCGATTATCCTCTAGTTACAAGTCTAGATTTTCATCTGGCATTTTATGTGGCCGTAAATTTTCTTCCCTAAAGCACTTGTAGTTTGTGATGTCCTAATTCCCCACCAGAGCCAGGGGATATGGAGCCCACAGCTTCACCTTACAGGACTGAGAAAGGAGATCATCGGTAAAAGAATCAGCTTTCAACCTCAAGCTATATGGGAAATGTAAGGGATCTGAGGGATCAAAGCATGTTTGCTCTGAGCAGACTGGTATATGCTGAGGGTATTGATCGGAGCATTGAGGTCTATCTGCTCTTCTAGTACAAAGACTTCCTCAGTCTATATGTGCATCCCATGCCCGATAACTACAATAGCACGAAGGAATAAGAATGCAAGTTGAGCACTTGGCTGTGTTCGGTGCTCCGTTTCCTCCTCAAATCAGATTAAAGATTTACATTTTAAAATGTATTACTTTGCACACTTTATCAAATAACTGATGCATTTAATGTGTCTTATATTAAATGCGATCATATGCCTGTGGTGGTTCTACTATATCCATACCCAGTGATTACAGATATTGCAGCATTGCTGACAACTTCTTGCTTTTTCCAACATACTACAGCCTGTAGCATCTAATGAGAATATGTGGTTTTACTTTGACAGTGGTTTGTGTTTACACTGGCACACTACAGCTTTAAAGATACATCCAAGTGCTGGGCCTTGCTGCCTGCTATTTATGCTCCTTATCCAGTGGGCAGTGTGTTAATTTTAGCCATGTCATCTATCAGCCATGCCTGTTCCACTTCCTAAACCTTAATCCCTCCTTTGGAAAGGTGCCCAGTCAGCTCCATTGATATTGTTTTTGGCTGTATTGGGAACAATGGGCATTGCTCCTGAATGCACCCACACATACATTTGGACAAAATGACAGTTTTTAATTGAAATTAAACAGTGTCATCTTTTTCGGTTATTACCTGGTTAGCAGTTACCACTCAGAAGTATACATACAGGCTCTCTCTGGGGATGTCAGCATGTGTTCCAGCATCACGCACTGCGTGATGAAAAAGGTTGAACAGGTGCGATGAAGAAAATCATTTTTTTGAGACATGTCAAACATACAACACAGTGAACTGTAATGTTTCCCCTCAGCTCAACAGTCTCTAGCATTGTTGGACAAAGTCAGACAAAAGTGACCTTTGTACAGATATAATGTAAAGTGACCTTTGTACAGATATAACACTTTGATGCTGTTTTGTTTCGTAAACTTTGGTAATTTATGTTGTATTTATGCACATGACTGCTGATCACAGGCCACATCCTGTATTTAAGTAATGCAAATATGAAGCTGGCCAACTGTTATTCAGTTTGGACTTTTTGACAGTAACTGATATGAACAGTGAGCTGCTGCACTGTTGTGCCGTTCATCCTAGATGTTGCTGCCTGTGTTTGCTGTGAAGTGTTCTGGCTCAGAGGCTCTTACCTTTTATAGAAAGTTGAAAGTAATACCTTATTTCCCTCTGTGAAAAGAGGAATAGCAATATTTATCTGGAATGCAAGCAATTTCAATTTCTGAGCTTAACTTTGTTGTTTAGTCTCCAATATATTTATTTCCTTAGAGCCCATGCTATCACACCTTTGAACAACATTTTCTCTTACTGTTCCTTTGAAGCAGTCAGCAAATCAATTGGTCAGCCGACTGCAGTCAGTCTGGAGTTTTGACGTCAACAGATCTCGGGCCATTTTTTCCAGAGCACATCAGATGGATGTGCCAGTCCCTCTGTCAACAAAGTTATGCGGCACAAAATGAATAAACACATACATTCACTGGCTCTCATTTATATGTGCAAACTGCTGTTTTACCTTCAGTGTGTAGTGGTGCATCATTACTTCCCCATATAATATCTGACTCTGATAACTTCATCTTCAGTAGAAGATCTAACCCTGCAGAAATACGCCATCCAGTGTTAAATGAGAGTATTGCTTTTGGAGATTTGTTTACATCAGGAATAAAAAGTGCGTATGACATAGAAACCTCTGGATGGATGAAGCTGAGTCAAGGCACATTGGCACAGCAGGCGAACGCACTATATGTTTACAAACAACCAAAATGAGCCTTTAGAGAAAATCAATAATACGTATTTAAAAACTCAATGAATGAAATCTATTTCTGCAAATGAGCAAATGGGAAAAACAGTCTTACATAAATAAAACTTTAGGCCTACACACAGCAAACGGCTATTGAATGAAGTGGTAACTAATTTTACATTTCTTTAAACATGTTACAATTAAAATACAGTACGCTTAGCTGGAAATTATACACAGCAGGACACACTCTGACAGGTGCACAATAATAACACAATTCATAGTAAGGAGCCTAGAATATAAATCTCCTGAAAAAGTTGCAAAAATGTAAAGATTTCCTTATGATTTTTCTTGATAATACCCTTGTTTAAAGTATTTCCTCCCTCCTATGTAACTTTGAATGAAAAATAGTATCCTGCTACTTATAATCTTCACATGAAAAGATATCAAGAGCTAAATCAATTATATTCAAGTCTACACTTCTAATAATAAACAAAAAAACAACATAGATACAGACAATAACAACACCTACCTCATAAATTAAGCCATTACGCAGTACCGCATGGATGCACAGACCACTCACTCCTGAGGTAAATTGAAGTGCGCAACATCCTCCTGCAGCAAGCATCCAGCACACCTCTCCATCCCACCCTGCTCCCTTTTGCTTCTCACTGGCTCCGAGGATGAGAATGAAGCACAAATACGCTCAGACATGTTTTTATAGGGGAAACAGCTGAGAGCAAATACCTTGCTTATTTCCGGGTAACGTTGGATACAACGCTGGAAACTGCGCACTGCATCGTAACAATCAAATCACGGGCATGCGTAATTCTTGTTTTGCCTTTAATAAGAAAACACCTTCTAACAAGTTAAGAACAATTAAACATTTGACAAATGACGCGTGATGATTGTAACATTATGGAAACGTCATAGAAGAAATCAATTAAATAAAGCACATAATTAAACGTTACTTAAACGGCCTAACGCCCACCATAGACGCACTATAACCTATATCCATACATATGATGGTAACCTATATGATTCACTGGAACAGACACTGCATGCAAATAAACAGTTCCTCTTGGAAGGGGGGAGATGACTTACCGAAAGCACCTCTTTCGCAACACGTCCGGTCAATTCACTATTCCTGCTCCGCCACCGCTGCCAGGACCCCCCCTCCTCCCATCAAGGTCCCAGTTCATAATAATACCAGAGTGGTCCTCCAGCACCGATAAAGAAAAAAAACAACCTTGTCCATCGACATTTTCACAGCAACACAACCAAGCCACGCCCCTCCCGCACACACCCCCGTTTTCTTATTGGACGTCGACCCGAAAGGCGTCGATCGGATCACGTGCTTTTGACAAGTGTTTACAAACAGGCGCAGCGCGAGCCGGAGAGCACAGTCGCCGCGAGAGCATTCACTCCTGTGCCCTTCCGGGTTTAGGGAGAATCCCTATCACTAAAAAAATACGTGAAGTTAATACAAAATACCTATTTGTTATTATAATGAATACACGAGTTCAAGCGCTCCTAATGTAGGAAGGCGCGTGGACTCCTTTCTTATTGATCTTGGCAATAAAAGGTTGCTACGTTTTTTTTCTCCACCTTTCAGTCGATTGGAATAGAATATCAATGAGAAGACTGTAGCAGTAGATTTTGTGGTTGATGTGGAAGTTCCCGGCGCTAAAGTCACTTTTCCTCTATTTCATACACTCACCTGCCCACCGCTTCTTGATAATGCGATGTATTATTTCCAGATGGAGCACCATTCGCTAATGTATTAATAACCAGAAAAACATAATGTGCCCTGTCCCCTATATCATATTTATATAGAATAAATTAGACTATATAAACAATGCATCCATTAGGAAAACTGGGTTTAAATCTACTCCACTAAATCTCGCTGATATTACTGTATTACACCAAATAAGCAATAATCCCAAAATTAAAGTTGGGGGGGGGGCACAATTCAACAATCATTCAACAATCCCAAAACTTAGTTAATCTGTTTAATCAGGACTGATTGTGTAGCCTGAACAAATTGGACTCACAGTGCTGGCAACATTAGCAAACAACCCCACAGCTGTCAGCACATTTGGATTCAGATTAAGTTAAACTGTATCTGGTGCACAGAAACATGTGACATTACATTTTTCCAACTGAATCCGGCCCACTTCAAAACAGCAAGAAGAAGAAAAAGCAAAGTCAAAAACACAAATAACGTAGAAATAGAAAAAGAAAACTGTTCAAAATTGTGTGTTCATAAATGACCCCATCACTGATAGAAGGAAAGAAAAATACATTTTCAGGGCCTTTGAAAGAATACGATGTGACTTGAGTATGTAACCCAGCAGCTAACAGCAGGGGTTTAAATCACCTACAGGACTACTGACACTGGAAAATAATCTAATGTGTACTGGATGTCTGGAATGTATGTTTTGTTTCTGGCATGTAAAATTGCCTAAGAAAGCAACTCTTAAAGTATGTTAAAGTTATTCAGATACTTTTAGTTAGCCACCACCTGACTCCATTGCCTCTAGTGCATTTCTTCTTAAAATTAAAGTGCAGTTGTTATATTTAACTATTTCTTGTCATTTTCTCACTTCTCTATATATTTTTAAAGTATTTTTGGGGGCTTTTTATTGCCTTTAATTGATAGAGACAGCTGAAGACAGACAGGAAATGGGGGCAGAGAGAGAGGGGATGACAAGCAGCAAATGGCCGCAGGTCAGACTCAAACCCTGGGCCACTGCAGCAGGGACTCGGCCTCGGTACATGGGTCGCCAGCTCTACCAACTGAGCTAACCGGGCGCCCAGCTGGTCTTATCTTTATCTGATCTTATCTTACTGATATTCAATTTCATCACTAGCTATTCTCAACTGCACATATACCTGGAGGCTGAGGGTAGACCAATCAGCTCCTTCGGATCCAGTGCCAAGGCCACGGGATTCAGAATGGAATATGTCTGCCCCCATAAGGCCTGAACCATGGTGTCCTCTGCTTGCAGACCACACCCCTGTGAACCGGCAGAGCATAAAGCTTGTAAAGATTGGATTGCTAATGAGACTATAGAGACCTGCAGGTATTTTCATACTCTCTGCTGACATACAATCCAAATAGCGTGGAATTAACAGTGATGACTCACTTCAACAGATTTACCAAGCAGTTGCTGTTGATACTGTACTGAATATAGTTCATATAATGTGTATGAGAAAAGAATATGGATTCCCACAAGTCTGAAGTTAAAACTTTGGTTGGGTCAGGTGAAAACTAAATTAGATTTCTTTTTCACTTTTGCTGTTTCTAGTGTGCCCCCCAGTTTGGCCCTAAGGCCACAGCAGGGGGCATCCTAACCCAACAATATCACATTCAAACTTCAGGTCCCTTTGCCTGCTTCACTCTATCTAAAGTTTGGATTATTTCAATGTGGGCTAATGGAAATCACTTATTATAATTGTATGTATGTTGTTGTTACTCATGTACATTTAAATTAAGGTTTCAGTTTACGTATTTAGAGGCTACAGTAATTAACACCCCACCTTTTTATTAGCCTAATAAATTAGACTTTTAGTATCTCGTGTTATTGTGCAATTTTTCTAGAATACTCAAATCAACTTTAGTAAATTACAATTAGTATGCAATCAACTGCGTGGTCTCCAGTTAACTACAGGGTGTGATGTGCCTTCTGTGGACAGTTGCATCACTGGAAAAAAACAGACAATGCCTTCCAGATTGTTTCCCTCGGCAGATGTTGGGAATAGACGACAGCACAGAGCAATGTGCAGGAAACAGACGGGATATCAATTTAAGTTTCCGTTGTTATTTGCTGTTTAGGTGTCCATGGAGACAAAATATAAAATCTGAGTTTCTCAATTTTCATGATTTGTTCATTAGTACATTTGTTGTTCTCACAATGCTGCTCAGTCCCTTCATTTTAACAGTGATTTTAGCTATTTTAGATATTCAAGAAAGGTGCTATAGAGCAAAAAATTCAACAAAAATACACATTTTAGACAGATAATAAGAACCAGCAGTTTATTAACACTAATTTTGTTGTGACTTTTAAGGGCTGAAAGTGTAAACCGTCGTTATACAAGAGTCAATTAAAAACTGACCGGCCTTTGACACAGCTGTCTAATGGGACAGTTACATGTAGGATGTGCCTGGTCACTCCCTCATGTGCGCACATTAGTCAGTGGGGCCCCATATTTGTCTTACAGTGGACCCCTCCCTTAATGTGGATCCCAGCTTTGAAACTGCATAGTACATTTCCCATGATGCATGTCTTTTATTTTATTTTATTTTTTTTTACTTTTTGTTAAAAAAATGTGAAAGTATATTCAGTTTTTCTCCAGTTGTCATGAGCTTTGAGAGAATGTCTATGCGAGTGGGGGTGAATGCATACTGTTGTGCTCATGCAAGGGTGTTGTGTGAGAAAGAAAAAAAAAAACCCTTTGACCGCTGCCAAGATGTCAGAAACATAAATCACTTCATCAAGTTCAAGTGGAGTACACTTCTGGAACTTCGTCTTTTCACGTTCAGAGACCCATTCAAACTGTTCATAACTTTATTTGTGAATGAATTAGTTAGCTGACTGGTTGGTTGGTTTAGTCTTAGAATTGAGGTGTTAACTGATTCTAAGTTAGGGTTGATTGTGCCTTGGTTATGGTAAGTGTGTTTTTGATCACAGATCTCTTGCTTTGATAGAGTGTGTGATTCATCCTCTGAAATCATGCATGCTGATTCACAGAACACTGAGATTAAACTGTCCAGTGCAATTAACTCAATTGTTTTGCTTACTCTCCTCCACAGTAACAGTATATTTACAGATTTGTGCAGTAACTTCCTTTTCCAGGTCCGGATTTCAACATGCAGCCAATTCTCCAGTCACACAACTCTATCCAAGGATTCAGATTCAACATTGAGCTATTATCTCTCTATAAAAGCAAGAAATCTCTGTCTGTCTGTCTTTCTGTGTGTCTGTGTGTGCCTCAAATATCTCTGCAGATCAGTATCAGACTGACCTGAGAGTTTCAACATGGCTGCTGTGTGGTTTAAGGGTGTGCAACGTCGGCTTTGTTTGGACTACAAAGATACCGTTAATAAATGATTTCATAAATGATTTACGAATTCCGCTAGCATTATCAACCATAGCCACCATAGCCACGTGCGCACCAGAGCCAGTCACTGCAGAGCCCACCCCCACGACACACCTTAAGAAACACGCTGATCTATACCTGCAGCGGCGCCAGCAGCTTTATACCTACACCGGGTTTTGCCGGCTGTTCGGTCCCGTTCTGTGCATCTAAACTGACTGTTGTGGATTACTGACACTGAACGAGTCCGGACCGAGTCTGTTCCGGTCTGAGGAGATCCGGATATGCGAGGACAACAAACTGGAATCGGAATCTGTGGATGTTCGTCTGTAGCTACCTGCTACACCTTCAAACACAACCTCATTTGGCCATCCATGAAAAAGCTACTTAACCTCCCACTTTTCTATAGCAATACATACTTCCCACGGGCACTGCACTAGTATTATATTATAAAGCACCGATCTATTTACTTTAGTATGTGTGGATGTAGGACTTGGTGTATCTTGGTTTAGCCTATTAAGGAAATGCAATTGCCTTATTTGAGCTGGTTTTAGGCCTTTCCTTGTGCGTGTGATGTTCGTTTGCCCTGCCCTGTGTTTTTATTTCTACTTTGAATTGAATTGGAACTGCTGTGCTATCTTGGACAGGTCTCCTTCGGAAAAGAGATTTCAATCTCGGAGGGACTTCCTGTTTAAATAATAAAAATAAGTTTGCTATTCTTCACTTTTTGGCCATTTCCTTCTAGCCTACTTTTTTACAAAGAAATGTGCGGATATTATAACGATTACGTAATGTATCACTTGAATTGATGTGAAAGGGGTTGCTCAGAGTAACAAATCCAAAAAGTATTATCATCTCTCTCAGCTCTACTGAGCATTTTACCATCTTTCAGCTCATTGTTTTGGTTTTTAATCCCTACAACTTCCAATGTTCTGCTTCTCTCTCACCCATCGTTTTCAGATACAGTAGGCGGCTGTGTTCAGTTAAATAACAACCCTTTGCTAAGTTAACTGTATGCCACCAACCAAGCACCAAATAGAAAGCAGACAAAGTTAGCAACTAGCTGGTAAACAC